ACAAAATGTGGTTTTTATGATTAGTTTTTGCATAATAAGACGACGAAACACATTCGCTTCTAATAGCTATTGTAATTTAATCAGAAATTTATTTATTCCCCTTGAAAAGTCAATTAATTAAGTCAATTAATTGAAATAATTGTTTCAATTTTTACTTTTATTTTGTGCATTCTTCTAAAAATGGCTCACATTTAATTTAGTTCAATTATTACTTTTAATGAATTAGTCATTTTCAATAGACTATTCTTGAATTTTAATGAATCATTTCATAAAAATGGTCATACTTAATTTAATTATTTCATAAAAATGGTCATACTTAATTTAATTATTTCATTAATATTCATTATTTTTGTTAATTTTCAGAATTCCTTTCCCTAGGAGATAATCCAAAAATTATTTAATAAATACTTATATATATTATTAAATTATCGATTACAAGCCTGTACACAGGCAACAATATTATCATTAAGAAATCCGTATAATGTTTTCAAAGAAAGAATGTGAATCTCTCTAAAAGACATGAACTGTTCTCTCGCAATCACTTTATCATTAAGAGAATACGCGCATTTTTTTCAGTTGTTTATGAAAACGGTTGCAGTTCTTTTTTTAATCACTTCAAAAATATAGTACGTTGAAAATGTTAAATTCTGCTCAATGTCTGCGCGTGACTTGAGTAAAATCATTTGATAATTTAAAAAAGACTACTACTTTGGACATCAGAACTTAAAGAGGAAGGAAATAATTCGGTAATCAGATATTACCTATAGCATTAAAGAATGTTCCTAGTACTTTCAAATCTACCAGTACATGTAAACAGTCACGATGTGGTGTTGAAAATTTTGAAACTCACTCTGAAATGCTATCCTTGTATATTCGGATAAAAATGCACTAGAAATGTCCACCGCTTCAGTTCCTTGTTCGGATGGAATCTGTCGATGAATGATTACACATTTACGTATACGAAAGCACATTTGCGTCTTCATAGTAAGAATAGTTTTGCACCGAAGAAGGGAGTCCAGTTAACCCGGATTTTAATATTTTGGTCTTTCAACTCTGCCTTTGTTTTAACAGGAAAATTTGTTAACTTAATTGTTTTAACTTCCGTTGTTATATTTACATTTAAACAAACAGGTTCGTAATCAACATTTTGGAAATGCATGCATAATTTATTCACGAAAAGCGATTTGGGGAAAAGTAGATGTCTGGTAATTAATACTAATCGACTTTTCATAAGGATCCTCAAAAATCTCATATTCAATTTTAATCTGAAAATTTCCGAAATTTCAGAATTTGAGCATTACAGTTTGAGCACAGCTTTACTTCTACCATAGAACTATACATGTATTTATCTCTCTTTTACTTTCTGCTCCAATGTAAAAAAGAAAGGAAACTATGCTTTCTTTCTTCGTCAACTCCCAACAAAGAATAGCTTCCAGATATCGAAATTTAGTCTTCATTCTGATAGCGATCGAGTTGCATCCTCCATTGCTCCAATCATAAATCTGTCGAGAAGGAAGAGAAGGCAATTCCATTCAATTCGAGCTTCAACAGAAGCGAGCTTATTACACCCGAAAGATAGATATTCCCTGATGATTTATTGCAGCAATAGAAACAGCGCGGCTATCGCCAAATTTACGACGAAATATTGCGAATCACTTCACACGGATACGACAAGAGTGAGAATTCGGTGTATGAAATGACGGTCATTTGGGATAAATTCCGAAACGAAAATGCGTCTGTCACGCATCGCAACAGAAAGGAACAGCTTGTTACAAAAAGTTGTTAAATTTTGAATGAGAAGTTCCAAAGAGAGAAAGTTGCAAAAACTGCATATTTTTAACGAACAACTTTTCTCCGTATTAATTATTTTCCCACTGATATACAGTGAAATTCATTTATTATTTCTCAATAATTCATAATCGTAGTGTGCATAATATACATTATGCTTAAGTGTAATACATCCATTTATGCATAACCCTTATGCATGTAACAGCGAAACGTATGAGAAAATGACTTCATAAAACCATAAAAATATTATGCATAGCCCATTATAAAAATATCGGAAGCTTATCTTAAGGCCTAATAAGCGATACATAAAAAAAAAGCAACAACCTCATGATGGGTTGGAAAAGCACCAACTCAATCGATTTTGAGGGCAAACAGTTACAGGTCCCTCTTCGCCAGGATAAAAAAAAATCTGCAAGACTGCAGTATTCCTTGCTAATTTTAATCTGCAAGACTGCCCTCTTACTTGTTGTTTTGCTAATTTTTATGTTTAATTTTGGCTTGTTTCTCTTCTGTTTTGATAAGCAGAGATATTGATATAATCCTTAAAATATTGCTACGAAATACCCAGTTGCGGTAAGATAGCTTACCCGCAAAGCGGGTTTAGGTTTACCAGACAGTGGCAAGGAAAGGCAGTGTTGCCTAATTTGGCGCGAAATTGCCCATTTGCTATTAAATTGGCTATATGCCACAGACGGAGCGAGAACATTCTAGAGCGAATTCTTACCGTTTCCCGAGAATGTTCTTGAAGGCAGGTCAGAAGCTATAAATAACCTGTCTTTACGCGGTGTAGCAGTGTATCGTCAAAAACAATCGACCGAGACGGGAGCTGTAATTTAGTGCTTTGCCGTGAAGCTGTCTTCACCGTTATAGTCTGACAGCCTGAAGGCTCTCTTGCTGATTGTTTCAGAGCGTTTAACCTAGTCTTTCCAAAGACTGTAAACGTGCTTTTGGTACTGTCCTGAGTAATACTGTTGAATAAATTGTATTTTGATTTTTCATCAAATGTTGCCATCAATCACTAAAAATCCACGAACCTGTAGAACGCAACAATAATTACTGTATGGATACAATATCAAAAACATAGTTAAAAGGTTATATCATAGTTATCATCACTCTAGTAAAAAGAGCAGCTGAAAAATACCATGGAGGGATTTATGAATGCAGTATAAAATTGAGTACTTAGTAACTCTGAAATATTTTGCGAAACTAAAAATTGAAAATCTTTTCAGAATTACAATAGAAACACTGCGTAAGGATTTATTTTTACACTTTTGTAAAATATTAATAAACATTCTTATGGAATTAATAATTTACTCATCTATTTATAACATAATGAAAATTCATAATTATTTATGACTTAAAAGCTCTAGACTCAATTTTTTATTACATTAACTACATGATTTAATATTTAAATGGAATATAAACAGTTCTGATTGCCATACTGTAATAGCTAGCAAACAAATCTGAACCAGATAATATTTGTCTTCTCTTTTATTTTATATGCTGTTAAATTACCTATGTGCTCCAATATAGGCACATATATGGCCGACAAAAATGCATTTTTGTAAAAATTAAATATCCCTGGAATTGTTTATGATCAGTCAAAATTAGTGAGCCGTAAAATTATTCAAAACACGTTTTTTTGCTTTCCTCAATTTGCAATCTCGAATGAGGTGCTGACTTTTAGGGGGGGGGGGTGCGAATAATAATAAAGTACCTTTGTTCCCGTTCAGTTTTTTTTTTTTCCTTATTACAGCCTGAGATTACAGTATTTCTACGGTATATTTTTCGCACCTTTATTTTCATGCCATATTTAGGGAAGAAATAACATCCTCGAGCAGGATTATATATATTATATGGAAAATTTTAAATATAGAATGGAAAATGTTATCAAAGCAGTATTGTTAAATATGACTGTTACTCACAGGTTAAGATGCAAGGATGTTAAGTTTTACCAACGTTTATTTGGATTTAAAACTTTGCTATCTTTTCTTATTTTCCATTTCCGGCCAGAATAAGCGCGAGGAGAATTATTTATGCTCATGAGGTTGCAAACTGTATAGGTGTTTAAGATGTGGCTTTTAGCCAAAAGAAGAGAGAGACTTCATGCTGCTCTACCACGCGCGTGCTTTTCAGTCAGTTCATGTCTGCCTTTAAGGCCAGAACTTAGTTCCCGCTGATAATGGAAGATGTACTGTAGTTTTGCATTTCGCTCACTACATACGTGTGTCAACAGGCCAATCTTTGCGTTATTGTAATCTTTGCGTCTCTGTAAAGCATCTAAGTTTACTTCTTATTTACTTAACTTACTTTATTTCTTATTTTCAAAGTTTTAGACCAAAAATGATGGTTCGTTTATCTCGAAGTGCGGGAGCGGCTGTATGCTGTGAAAAATAAAGGGTAAATTTAACCCTTCTTAGTGTTGTTGCTTTCCTACACACTCAGGAGCATAGTTTGAGTAAGCTCCTTGTTCCCATTCGCGATTAGTAAATGTTTTGAAAGGCAATTAGAAGCAGCAGCCGTTCTGACAAAGATTCAACATAAATTATTTAAGGTTTCAGTTAGTAAACGGCTCAACAGACGAAATTTTAAAATTTAAGCAACATAAAACGCTGAAGATAAGACTTGATTGACATTTAAAGTTAAAATACAGTAGTCCTCAATCGAGATATGTGGTTAAATTGCAGGGGCATGGACTTAAAATTCACTAAAGATAATTGTTAAGAACTTTAAGAAAACTGGGGTTTTAAAACACGTGGATGACTCTAAATATGATCAAATCTCCTATGATGTTGAAAATGTTCACGTCACTTGAGTTTTGGTTTCAAAAAGAAAGAAATATGCATCAGATCAAGCCGTAAAGTACATATTGCATTAATATTTTTTAATGTAAAGAATAGTAGTGTCACTGATCTCATTTCATAGTTTAATTCCATTCTTACGGTCAACTAATGATACAGTAATATTTTAATATTTAAAGTACTCACTCTTGAAGAATGAACTTTACACTCTTTTCTGAAAATTTCAAACTTTCTACAATATTATTACTATATTCTTATAAATTAATTATTTCATCGCTTAATTAAAATATCCTTTAAAATAAAACAAAATACTGATTCCTACCAACGAAAAACATTAGATTAGTTTTAGCACGTTAAAGTAAGATAACTCTATAGATATATAGTTAATAGTGAAGTAATATAAATTCTTACCTTGTTTGTGAAAGCCTAAAAGCAGCAGCAGCATACTTTTCCGCCATTGCTATTGCTACATCAAAATCTTCTATCTCCCCTGGAGCTAATAAAGTAAATTAAATTATGAAAAATTGCATTCAATTTTTCTTACCAGTCTAGTAAAACACTATTTACAAAACATAAAAAAGGATAATATGTTTTAAATATTTTTATTACTTCTAATGAAAAATCAGCTTGTCTTACAAGTCCAGCAGAAAAACTATTTAACTGTTTACGTACCATGTAAAAGAAAAATATGTTTTAAGTATTTTTGTTACTTATAATTAGCAAACTTCTTTTGAAGGTCTTCCATATTTTTTTCACATATAAATTAAACTATCTAAAAATGTTTTGAAATCTGATCGATAAATTAGTTAGTGCACTAATTTTCTGCTATGTTGTATTAAAGGCGCATAAAAAAGCGCCCTTTAGCAGAATAATATGATCCTAAAGAAAGGATACAGTGTGGTTTGCTTTTCGGAATTTTTTTCTTTTTTAAATCGATAATGTAATTTAAACTACACTAATTACTAAAATATTTTTTGCTGCATTAAAAAAGAAAACAAAATGTCTGCAGCGCACTTTTTATGGCTAAAAATTTATTTATCATGACGCTTTTATTTTGTTTGCGTATATTTTGAATAAAGTATAAACTAAGGCATTTTTATGTAATTCGTATTCTATTCGAAGTTCTTTCCTGAAGACGATTTGTACAAAAGAAATTCGGAGTGTTGATTTATTTTATCTTAACTTGGACATTTTTGTTATATTCTAATAACTATCAAACCGATGCAAACTGTGATATGACTAGCCCTCTCAGCGGTACAGGTTTTTTCCTGAAATTTAAAAGTTTCACAAAATAAAATGAATAAATAGTATTTTCTCAATTATAATTTAAAAGCGGCTCTTTAACCATTTCTCTCTGACTGTCACGCATACGTTCCAACAAGGAACGCACTCATTTCCCCCACCGGCACGCTGGCGTGCCATAGCGTTTTCTTGTTCACCCCCGGCTGTAACATATTTGTGCTAGTATCTTGGAACGTTTTAAAGATCACTAGATGGCGTCCTGTGTCAATTACGTTTAAAGTGAGTATAGTTTTAGGACCTTCAGTTTGATCACATTCTGCGTAACCTTGGTGTCAGCTATTGTGGGGAGAGAAAGCGTAATCAAACTTACCCTTTTAACTCACCATATGATGAAAACATTCGTGTTTCAAATATGCCTACGAATCCTTTTTTATTATTTTTTTCGTTACTTCATAATGTCTTTTAGGGTTACTGAGTGAAGTTCTGTTACGCTTTGCGTTGCTTTAGGGTATATTTCACGTTCTTCCCTTTTTATTTTGGAAAGCCTTGACTCCAGTTTATTATGGCGAGGAAGTGTTATTTATTAGAGGAAAGAGACACTCACATAGTAAATGAGCCAATTAATGACTTGTATGAGACTGATGATTCATTTCCTAAAGTGATATTTCTAATGATTCTGATACGAGCATTTGTGAGTGATTGAGCTCTTTTGAGTGTCTGCCTTTCAATTTACATGAGGTATTTTGTTACTGCTTTTTGTAAATAGACTTTTTTGTAATTTGTTTTAGTTAATTTTGAAGTTTATTAATGCGTTTTGTCAATTAAATCTTCATAATAATTTGAACAGCTCATACGAAAATTATTTTTAAAGCAAAAAAAAAGAGAACTATTTAATGCTAATTTTAGCGTTTATAATAGCTTAAGTAATAACCTAAAATGGTACCAAAAACTATGACGTATGACTTAAATTTCTTTTTTAATGATTTCCCCTCTTAAAGTTAGGCCTAGCGACTCAAACCCCCAGTCCTGTGGGAGCATTCTTTATGACTCTCCTTCGTCTTGAGGGAACAGGTGACAGGTGACGGAGGACGGGGACGCCTGGTGTATAACATAGGTAAAACAGGCATATATCCCACGTCCTCCACTATCTCGAAGGAACGGCTCGCCCTCTCGAAAGCTTTAGTTTGCAACTTGACTATTCCTTCCAATTCACATCCAACCCAAAATCGGATGTCTTAGCATTGGGCAAATTTTTCATGTGTAGTGAATTGGAAAATCATCTTTCTCTATGGAATTTTACGTCCAAAACGCTTAAAGGGCCCATAACGCTTAATTGCATGGAAAGAGTAATAGGACTACCGAGTTTCCGGCGTTAACGCCCACCGGTATATAACGAGCCTCTGTAATTTCAAGAAGCTACATTTAAATTTTTTTTATTATAATCTCCGTATAACGCGCACTCAATTCTTCATGAATAAGCCTAAAAGCTATCTGAGCAACCCTCATATCTTTTGAGGTAACTTATTTGAAGATTTGTCTTAGCTTTTCGAACAATGGTATATCGCACTGATAAGCAATAAGGGGAACAATATATGTGTCTGTTAAAAGCTTGAGGGAGTAAATATTCCTCCAAAGAGGGTGGATTGTATTCAATGCACGTATCCAAAAGAATGCCATTGTAGTGCTTCGAGAAAAGGGGGATATAATTTGGGGTAAGAATGCACTTCCAACCTTAATGAATTCGTGGAATCAGGAGTTTGATGTTTTTATCTTTCTGTAGTCATCTGAAGCCGTGATTTTGAAGTGAAAATTGAGGGATTTAGTAAGTCACATTTGCTTTAGCCTTTTGAAGACGGGATGACCATTAAATTGGCCATAGAGTCCTCTGTTTGAACAATAGAGGAAATAGAAAAATTCACAATGGACGACCATTTTAAAAAGGAAAGAATTTTGCTGGCCGGGCACCTGATATTATCTGCAAATTTCTCTTAATGTGGTAAATTATGTAGCATAATATAGAATAACATAATATATCGAAGACAATAACTATCGTGTAACATTTGTTCCACAGTTTTTGCAGACACTATGCATAACAAACAATTTTCTCTTCAATTTGAAAAACTTTTTGCACAAAAAAAATTACCTAAATTTTAATACACGAGTGAACACGTTTCCCTAGTGAGGCTGGGAATTTAGTTTTAGACAAATGGAATTTGCGTTTTGAATTATGGGATTGCATACTAAATAATTTGACATTTCTATGACTTAAATTCATTCTGTTATTTTCAATAAACACTATAAAACGGTACATGATTAAATGATCTTTTTTCTTTTTTCAAATTTTTAAAACTAAAATATTCTAAAAAGCAGATTTTAAGCGTTTGTTTTATTATGCATTAATTTTAGAAAAGAACTGAATTTTAGTTAGTAGCACTTATGTAGATGGACATTGCAGTACTAACAGTCTACAATAAAATAAAATTATTTTAATTAAACCAGTTATATTCTAACTTGCTGAAAGTTTCCTCCTTAAATAATATGTTATCAAGCAGATTTTGAATAATTATGTAAAATTAAATTTTCATTACGCCTATAGAGCATAATTTTAACAGTTCCACTGAACTTTAATTTTTAATCATTTCTATAGCTTAAGTGTTTATTTTTTTAATTATTCCCTGTATGGAAGAAAGTTCAAAGATATAGCTATATTTGATAATGCATACCAAAACAAATTTAAAATTATAAGGAGCTTTAATTTTTAATCATTTCTATAGCTTTAAGTGTTTATTTTTTTAATTATTCCCTGTACGGAAGAAAGTTCAAAGATATAGCTAAATTTGATAATATATACCAAAACAAATTTAAAATTATAAGGAGATTTAACAATAAAAAAAAAGACTGAGATGAAGACTAGTTAAATTTTAAATTGTAGAAGGAAATAATAAAATAGTTGAAATATTTTTTGACATAACATTAATATAAAGATACGAGAGAAATAATTACTGTAAGCACTTGGTAAAGACACATAGTTTTGCAGTGTAGTTTAAAATTCAAACCAAAATTTTATAAAAACGAAAGTAACGTCCTATAATATAAAGAATTGCATTTTCTTCAACGGAGGTTTGCACATTTCCCAGTAGTCTCAATCCGGAGTGGAAATGTGAAATTTTCCCTCAGTGACGAAAAGCATCTTGAAGTCTGGTCACTAATCCCTACATTTCCCTTCCTTTTAGATGCACCCCTCTGAGAATCCATTAAACTACATACAAGAATCTTTGTTGCAAAGAGGAGGTGATTTCTTAAAGGGGGGAAGCATTCGGTTCAAGATTCCCCGTCCTTTCAAGGCTTTTTCTGCTACCAAAGCCCCGGCCTCAAAAGGTTAGTTGAAATGCAGTTGATCTAGTGATCCTTTTATACGTAACTATGGCTCCCGCGAAAAGACACAGTGCTGGTTTCAAATGCAGAACCATACATTTTGCGAAAGAAATTGAATCGTGCTGCAACAAGGATGTTTGGTGTTGGCGAAAGATGGAATGGAAGATGATGATTATTTATTTACGGATCAGAGTAACATTGCTGGTGAAGATGAAACAGAATCCGATGATGTGCCTGAAGATATAACGGAAGATCAAGATGATGAACGCTTCATGCTATCCAGTAATGGAAATTTTTAAATTCATAAGTTATGTAATTTCTGCTAAATAAACAGCAGTTTGGTACACACAGAAATCCACTTTTTTATGTTTATTCCTTTTTTTTAAATCTATCATTTTTATACCCGGCGTATAAAACTCACTCGTAAATTGCAATCTTATTTTTTTGTGCTGAAAGTGCGCGTTATAAGACAGGAATATACTATATATCTCATTGCCCTTATTTGTAAACAATCACTAAGAAGGAATTGTAATGGTAAATTAACCGAAATTCAGATTGGAACTTTAATATCATCACATTTTGTAAAAGTATATTTATTGATAAATCGTCTAATGTACTTCCCGCAAAATTAAAAAAAAAAAAAAAAAAAGTCGACATCATCGTCACTAAGAGTTATTTAATTTTATATGCATACTTTCGTTCAAAGATTATTCAAAATACAATTTTGTTCAAGTACATTTTTTGTTTGGAGAAATGAATTTTCATTCAAATAATTGCATACGAAAAAGACAAAATGATAAAATGCAATTTATTTGCTTAATGCGACGAAATAAGTAACGAATTATTACTTATCATTTAAGAGGCTGGAAATCATTTATAACAATTACAGCCATCTAATGTAATCTCTAAACGTTTCTCTCTAATAATCGAAGCTTTATTTATTTCAGCATTAAAGTAGATACATGATGACAAATGAGAGAATATTCCGAGTAAAATCAATATATACTTTTGTTTTCTTATTTTTAATTTTAGAGAAAAAGTGTTTTAAATGATTTCTCTTAAGAATTAGAAAAAAAGTTGAAATGTTACTTGTGTAGAACGTTGCTATAGGATGCAATATATATTCTTTTTATTTTATTTTAAGCTGAATTAATGATTGGAAAAATAATTCACAAAACTATGATCATCGTCGCTAAACAAGGAAACATTTATTTTTAAAAGTTCCAATTTGTATTTCTTTTTACTCAGTAGATAATGGAATAAAAAAAAAAGAATATCATTAAACATACATAAAACTTTATTTATTAATAAAATAATTTCGCATGATAAGAAGGGAAACTGAATTTATTCTTTCATATCTGGATTTAAATATATTTTATCTTAGATATCAACTTAGCATATTTTTATGCATTTACTTTAGATAAAAATATTTCTTACATATAAGATTTTAATGATGAGAAATAATTTTAAAAATGACGTTTATTCTATGAGAACATTGTTACGATCGTAAGGGTTTGTAATGTATTGAATGCACACTGAATCAATGATAGATCAATAAAATTTATTTCACCGAAACTAACACTTTAAGAATTCTGGAACTTTTGCCAACTATACTTGTGCAGCTTTTTTCCATATGAAGAGCACAATCCGTAGTTACCTTGGCCAGGTGGCGCTCAGTCTAGCGCGTCGCGCAGTAGCATCACAGGTCCGGGGTTCGCTCCTCGAGCTCGGCTAAGCTAACCGAGCACAGTCGTACTTTCACCTGTATGGTGCTGAAGGCTCTTGTCAACGACAGGCACAACCTTACACTACATGCCACGATGAATTTCGTGGGCTTGTGCTGATGTTACTGTCAGATATGTGAAATAACTAGTTTTGTGGATTACACGCTTCGCCTAGACAGGTGCTGGCACTACATGGCCAATGGACTCTCAGAAAAGTGCCTGGGGTTCAATTCACTTCTCCGCTTCTTGGAGAGAACTGACACCAGCCGCCACACGGGGAAGCTGGTCGTGTATTTTCTACCTACCAGTCGCTCGGGCTGCCAGTCGTAGAGGAACCTTACCCAGCAAACCCGTAAGCTACTCCCGGGCTACTAGAGCTAACTGCTCTAGGACGCCCCACACCCACTAGGTTCGTAATTTATATAACTCTGTGACCGAGACTGCCTACGTATAGATCCTAGCCAGCAGCTTGGCAAAGTTCTCTACGTCGATCCCCGGGGGGGGGGACAAGTGAGATAAGTCACATACATAGTAATTAGAATGTCAAACACAAAAAAACAAAATAAAGGAAAAACCCAAATGCGTAACAGTGATCTCTCAGTAGTCTCTTTTTCGTTTCTCCATCGACAGAACAACTGACCCACTGGGTTAGGTGCTGTTTAGCCTGATGAATCCTGTCATTAGAATTAGGGGACATAGAAACTACGGCTTGGTACTGTGTTCTTTTTCAATTGAACTACGCAAAGTGAGAGATACTGAAAGAAGAACCAGAACATGGAAAGAAAGTTTATGGTGGGGACTGTTGAGACTACAGTGAAAATGCTGATGATCACTGCACAGTTGCTGTTGCGCTGAATACAACTCTGAACTGAGCTAAATTGATGTTCTGTGCAGTGTTATACAGTTTCTCTCCGGCGCCGAGAAATTTCTGGTAACTTCAGTTTCTCGAAATTCCTCTAAGGCATACATAGTTACAGTTACATAAGGCCGGAAACAGTTACAGTCACTTAAAGATCGGACCAAAATGTCGCCAAATTTGGCGACTTTTGTGGAATTTTCGCTAAATTTGGAGTCAAATTTAGTCACCAAAATCACTACCAGCTTGGCGCTATCTCGCCAAAAGGATTTATTCTTTTAACTTTTTTTTTTTTTTTTTTTTGTTTCCGGCGAGTGTTCGCAATCTTGAGGCCTTTCGTGTTACTTTATGCAACAAATACTACAATTTACATATAATTTCCTTAAACTTAATTACATACATACGAATTCGTAACAATATTCAAAATATAGAAAGATATTTTATAAAGGGTCTGTATTTGAAAAATGTTAGCTGCTAACCAAAAAGAGACATTTTAAATATCAAAAAGAGACATTAATAGCTCGTTGAATCTACTAAAACAACGATGTAACCAATTCTTTAATATAAACTCTGCTGCTAATATAAACTGTTAGACTAACTGTAGCATCGAGGGAGCCCTCTGGTGAGCAGTCAGAGAAATACTTCAATAAAAGCTAACTGTGATCTTGATAGGTTTTTGTCAGACTCTTGCTCTGTAATATTCTTAAAGTTAAATGCAATGTCCGTGTGTAACTTAAACCTGTTAATAAATTATTGTTACACTATAAAGGACACTTTTTATGACCCCATCCAAAATGACCCCTCTCATAGCGAGAATATTCAGATTCTTTTTGTTACATAAAAATACATATATTTATAAAACAAAAAGCATTTGAAGCAATTTTGTCAAAAAATGAAGTTGATGAATAAATTAATTTCGAATATATCTGATGCGTATTTAATATATTCTGTGTTTAGCTGGAATGGGTATGAGGTAGCTTTTCTGTTATAATTAAACGGGTTATAATTAAAATGAATTTTTTGATTGAATAATTTTTTAAAATGCACCTTGAAGGAAGCTTTTTCAGCAAGTGAATCTGGCATTCGGTAAAATGAAAAAAGCTGCTGTTTCAGAGACAGGATAATTATTTCAATTTATTTATATTTATCCTTTCCTTGAAAGTTTTATTACCAGAAACGTACATTGAGGGAGGATGTGAAAATATAAATATCGCTACTTTCATTTAAAATTTATATATGATATCATTTTCTACGCTACAAAGGAATAGTTTCGAAACCATATTTGAGAATAACACACAACTACCATGCATTACGTTTTGAAAAGGAAACTTATGCTTGAATTAATATAATTTTGCACAAATTTTATGTTAAGAATTGTTAAAACATTAAAAAAAATTATTGAATGTGGCTTTAATAATTAATTATTATAATAACTAATTTAACTAAAAATTATTAAAGTGTATTTTGAAAATAATATTTCCATTATAATTAGTTTGGGGTTTTAGTTATATTTCACATAAGAAATATTTCTAACTGATAATTATAAAATTTTAATAATAAGTTGTTAAATATTTTAATTCATTTACGAGAATTCCGCGGAGGCTTGAGAAAATTTATCACGTGAGACATATGGTCTTTTACTGTACTTTAGTCTTCAGATGATACGCGTTGAGCAGAAACTATTTGTTAGTCATTTATAATCTGTTTTATCATCCATACACACCAAAAATGCTGTTTAATTCAAAATTATGATGTTTCTCTAACCAAATTATTATAATACGAAATTCGATTTATGAAGCATACGTACTAGTCTACAAAAAGGAAAATTCCCGGATCGAGAGTCTATTGAATACCTGTGAAGTGATATTAAGCAAAATATGATATCCGTGAAGTTGGGTCAAATAAGTAGAAGTGTGTTTAAACCACATGTCATTGTTACGAAGTTTTACATATAAGGATAATTTTTATGAAATTGTATCTAAAATTGTTATATTTTTTCTGTATAATGCAACATGAAAATCTAGAAGGAGGATACTCTGGTGGAAAAATAGGAATAGAGGGGCAAGTGTCTTGATATTGAGTATATGGCTATGTCGCTAATTTGGCGAGAAATCACCCAAAGTCGCCAAACTTGATGATATTTGGCAGTATTTGGGTCCAGTGCCTGTATCAACGTATCAAGTATTGTAATTGAATAACTATAATTCATTTCACATATAAATGTATCTGTACCCAGCTTCATATGCCTTCCAATAATTTCGAGAATCAGAAAGTGTTAGAAAATATTTCAGCGACCAATTGTTAGCTGTTCGTTGTTGTCTCTCAATTGTTAGCTGTTGTGTTGTTAGCTCTCGTGTTCTTAGCTCTCGGTTGCTGTTAGCATGAGTTCGAGATATCTCTGGATTAACTTCGCTCTTTGGATGAGCTTTGCACTGCATGGTGTTTAACGCTATTAGTAGTTTGAAGTGTAAATACTGACTGTACTCTGTGATACTATGAACTCCTGTACGAGTGTTTTTTCTGAAAATTCCAGAACTTTGAACTGTTTATTTAGATCAAATAATTTTCTTAGTCTATCTTCAGACCTGTGTGCATTCAATCTATTACTAAACCGTACGCACACATTAATATTTAACTGTATTTCGATGTGTAGATATTCATAAAATATCTTTAAAATCACATATTGTCTCAAAGAACTAATTATATTCTTACCTTCAAATTTATTATAATTCGTAATAAATTAGCTGTTATAATCGCACGAGTTATGTTGTGCTCAAGTTATGCTGAGCACTATTAAGTTAAACGAACTTCAATAAGGCATTCATTTGCATTAAAGAGAAGCCTGAGGTTTTAGGAAGAATGATGATCAAAATTCATGATAGTTACTACCAAATCAGCATTTAGCTGATACCCGATAACAGCGAGTAAAATACAGACACAGAGGAAAAAATAGTCTTTGGATCATTAGGCTGAGCGCAAGATAGTCACTCGGGGTAATGATTAATGGATAGTCTCACCTCTGGATCCCATGGGAGAGGGCTTTTCACAAAATCCTCTGGAGTTAGCCCAAAGTCGGGAGTACTGCTGTAGAGGCACGTTGTGATGATGCTGTTTTGAAGAAGGAAGTGATTATATATAAGATTATGGATATGATAACAGCACTCCTCACATTTATTTCACATAATACATTATATTAACATAATTAAGCTGTTTAAATATTGTAAAAATTTGAACATGTTATAGTTTCAGTAACTAAATTGTCATTAATGCTTAAACGTAAATATTTGTAGATCATCGTCAGCAGGCTTTACTAATGAATGGATTAGATATGCACTTTTGCAGTATCCTCACCCTGTCACGGAGCATTGCACATCATTATTATGTTATGCTTTTAAAAATACCATACCAATAACATAATTTGGTTTAGTCTATAAATTTTAAGTTTTGTTTACATTAAACAAGACAATTCTAAACGAATTGGAGCTAGTTTACTACTCTTCTGTGAGTCCTTGCTATTTCGTTTAAAAATTTCAGCATTAAGGAAGATATTTGTCAACTGAGCGTTTTTAACATCACATCTCATGTCCATGCGCATGTTTTGTGAAATATTATGTCTTTCCAACAAAAATGGAGAAAGCTTCAAGGGTTTATGTTTGAAAATTTTCTTCTGTCTTGCTTCGATTTAAAGAGAGAAAGACTAATTTATTAATATATTAATAAACTAACGTATTTTTCTTTCTGAATTAAAGAAGCTTCATGAATTTCACTTAGAAAATCAAAGGAATCAGATATTTATAAATACTTTATTGAGAACTCATCATGCCGAAACTTTAATAACTTAAATATAATTTACGTTAAAAATTACTAGGACAAACAGAAAGGTTTTAGTTTGAAAACAATATGCTAACCCGGACGGCGTTAATCAGAAAGAAACGGATACATAATCAGAAAAATCATTGGATGTAAATTACGATCTAAAAAGCTTTTGCAATATTGTATTCAATACTTTTCTTTCAATATACTTTCATCACTGCCACTTCAGTTTCTACTTCGAGAGTACAGCTGCAACATCAATCGTCTGATTCCTGTACATGACAAGTTAAGGCGAAGTTGTGTAAGAGTATGTCATTGAAGAAGCATCAATCATTGTGGTAGCTTTAAAATTCGTGATATATTGCTATGACTATGGCATTCTAGAGTTTCCTAAATTCCATATATTGATTTTCTGGACACTGCCACAATCAGGTTAGAGACGGTGATCATATTACTATTTTATTTTAATAGATCTAGTCGAGAAATAATTCTTAGGTAAATTTACCGTGCGCCTTGGATTTAAAAAGAAATTTTAAATTATTTTAATACGACTATGGTTTAAGAGATTTAAAAAGAAAGAATAATTTTGATTAGTTTTAAAGTTTTTGTGTTTCTGTTTCTGTAGATGTGTAGTATGTATAGTTTTGTATTTATCATGTCAACTGAAGTAGAAACGGATACCTTCTTTTGTTTGGACACAGTATCACATTTATAGCGAAATAATGTAACATAAAGCAAATAACTTACGAGAATTAAAATTACTCAGGACATAATTTCAAATATTTTAACTGCATTCTTTGATACTACACCTTGCGCATTTAATTGGGTGTTCTTGTGTCATTTAATTTTCTAAACAGATATTTTAAGTTAAATCCCCTTTCCTAAATTGTGTCCGTTGATACCACACGACCCTGCGAATTTAATTCGGTATTATCTTGTTAAGTATCATTTAACGTTGTAGAGACATTAGGATTTTTTTCGAAAGTAGGAGAATTGAAAAATCCTGGGTGTGGAGAGTCATCATCCATAACCCTTTTTTTAGTTCGGTCTCCACTGTAGATACATTAGGATTTTTTTCGAAAGTAGAAGAATTGAAAAATTAGCAACCTTCGCCGGGAATCGAACCACGGACCTCTGGAATACCGGCCTAGCGTACACAACCACTACACACGATGGCACGCCAAGAAGGTGGGAGATTAAATTTAGCAATGATTAAATTTAGCAAATACCTAATAACTTTCTAAACAGATGTTTTAAGTTAAATTACCTCTCCTAAATTCTGCCCGTTGATATCACACCACCCTGCGAATTTAATTCGGTATTATCTTGTAGAGTATCATTTAATTTTCTAAACAGATGTTTTAAGTACCTTTCCTATCAAACCTCATTTCATTTCCCTGAAAGAATGTAAATTTCCAGCACTCACAGTATTCAAATTGGATAAGAAAAAAGAAGTATTTAAAGGAAAAATTTAAAGGGTGAAATCAGAGCGTGTTCTGTCTGCTTGAGGGCCATGTTGCTAAATTTAATTTTCTAGCTATTAGACGTCTGCTGTGGTGAGTTAATCTTGCCGTTAGGCTTCTTTACAGCCCACCAGCGGTCGAGTTAAAATTCCGAGTTTCGAATCCGAGTTCGGTCCGAGTTTCGAATCCCGCGGGCAGGCAGGCTGCATGGGCGTTTTCGTGTTTTCCACCAGGTGTAACATGCTAATACGAGCCAGTTTTCCTAGAAAGTCCTCCACGAAGGCATGCTTCCTTCCGTGTAGTGTCTTAGGGCAGAACACGTAAATAGTAATAGGCTTCTTCACACCGACTTCAGCCAGAGCCAGTTTGCGCAATAGTTAAAGTGTGAAGCCGTTTAATTAATTTTTAGTTAGCCATTACCTTTTGATTTAAAGCCAAAAGTTTTGGCTTTTGTAAGCAAGAGTTTGTGCTGACTGTTAAACTCGACTTGACCTAATGAAGGGTTCTATACACACTTTCTCTTGACTTTGTAGTACTTTAAAGGACTTAGTGACAATTCACTAAAAAGTCTTTCTACGTCACGTATATTTTAATGATAGCAAAGAATACACGACGTTACAATATCGTTATGGTTCATGTGATTATGACAAAGCCTCAAGGGCCATATGCCCAAGGGAAGATATGTCTTCGTGAAGGTCTTTATAAGGGAAACTGGCTCGTATACACGTTACACATGGGGAAAAACCATGAAAACGCTCATACAGACAGCCTATTCGCGGGATTCAAAACTTGGACCGAATTACTAGTGTTCAGCGACTTTACCGCTCCGCCGCCGGTGAGCCCGCTTTCTTTATGAACCGCAACACGGAATTTAGTTAAAAGTATTAGTTAATAATATCGTAAGTCTTGAACTTGAAACTCTCATGCACTATCATAGCTAATTAGTATTTATGTGATTTTGTTGCACAAATAAATTAAATGGCATGAAATATTAAATTATTCCATTTTTGTCTGATAAAATATTCCAACAAAAGTCTTTCGACTTCATTCGATGAAGTCAGAGGGCTATGCTCATATTATCACAAAAGATTTTATATGTAAGATAAAATTACTGCGTAGTCTTTATCTCATTTTTTGAATTGCCACCAACGAATTGTAAAGTTTATTCGTGATCATTTGAGTTCTGGTTTTTAATTCAATTTCTTGAAAGAAAATACATTTTAGTCATAAAAGTAACACCCAAAATAACAGCACCTATAATAAGGTAAAACTTGATATAATATAAAGCAAGAAACGGTTGACAATGAACAGATTTTTTCACTTATGTCCCATATTATAAAAGCGTACTTATCTGCACAACCAAAAAAAAAAAAATGTTGTAGTTTTTAGATTTTAACGGTTACCCAAAAGGATTTGTTGAGGTCTACGCAGGCTGCTTTTGCGAGCATTACTGCTAAGCCTCTTTTTTGTCTTTTTAGCTTTATTATTAAACATCGCTTTCTTCGCACTAGATGCGATGGATGGCTAGCAAGGAAAAAAAAATACTTTTCGCTTTTCATTATTAACTTTTACTTGTGAACTTTAGTTATTAAATATTACGTTCTTCGCACTTCGTCACATAAAATTCAGTTCAACATCACATTGGCATAACATGTTTGAAACAGCATATCTTTTTCATTCCCGATAGAGTGTTAGAGGTTATTATACCTGATTTTATATTCGCTATGTTATTTCGTTTAAAACTAGCCCAGCCGCTAGCTAAAATACCTATAATAAAAAAGGTATATAATGATTTTAATGACTTCAGCTAGTGCAATTTCACAAAAATTCAGAATATTTCTAATTAGACATCTCATGATTTTAATACATGTGTCAGGACTCGAACCACGGCCACTCGAATACGCGCCGAGCATGCTGACCACTACACTACGAAGGCATGTTAAGAAGGCAGGAGAAATACCTTATACATGTGTATTTAAATAGATCATATTAAAAAATTTAAAAAAAAGGATTCTTAAGAATCATGTTTATTGCTTTTAAATCGCTTAGTTTATAACTACATTTCGGATTAAATTTGAGAATATCTTAGGCTTTACTAAATGGCAACACGTTGGCGTGTGGAAGATAAAAGCTTTTTATTTTCGGACGCAGCATGGCGTTTACTTTCATTGAGCGGAGTTTGAAAATTAAAACTGAAAAATAAATATCTTACATTTTTCCAAATGGCAACAGTCTCACTCGCTGGAAATAGATTTATTTCAAATAGTATTGCTAATGTTCTCTTTCAGATCGTTGTGTTTGTTAATGAAAAATTCATAAACGTTTTACAGATAGGAAGTAAATAAGAAAAAAAATTAAAATTCAGACTTGAGGTTTGCACATGGTCAGGTGAAGAACTACGTTATTCAAAATTTGTTGACTCTAGGTACATTCGCTTTTAAAAATGTGAAGAACATACAAATATGTTAGAAAATGTTTCATTATATAATTTCTTTACAAATAATACAGCGATATAATATTTGGTGGCAACAATCTGAAAAGCGATTTGCCGTTAATAATGAACCAATGTATTTAGTAGAGGATTAGTTATTAATAGAAGAGACATCAAAAATGCCTATGTCAAAAATTTTACAGATTCATAAATACAGGATAAAACATATTTCATTTTTATTGTGATCATATACTGTAAAATGTGAATTCCTTTATAGAAATGTAATTATTTTTTCCTGTATGTTGTAAGTAAGATGTCGAAAGCGATTTTGCTTTATGAAAGGTATATTTTTAGATTCCGACTACATTTTTAGATTTCTGACTATTTCGAAATAAAAGTGC